GCCCCCCCCAGTGCATTTTCTGGTCACTGTGCAGGTTTTGGCATAGTTCTCTGATCCCTGCTGTCAGACTTCCATCAGTTTAGCAAACCATTCTCTTTTAACGAAACAACATAGAAATAGCACCCCAGGTGAGCTCCTGCCAGCTTTTCTGCTCACTCCCAGTTTCTCTCCTCAGTATAGTCACCACCCTGTTTGCATTTCATTGTCTACACATGTCTCACAGTACACATCCTATAGCCTCGTCGCTTATTTCACGATTGGAAAAGCTGGTATGATAACAGCACTCCGTTTATATCTAATTCTTCTATTCTGTCCTTTAAAAACCTGAATTCTTGCCCTGACCTGGATAGTCCAGGCAAGCCCGATCTTGTCAGATCTCGGAAGCTAAGCAGGGGATCGACTCTGGCATGTACTTGGATGGGAGACCTCCTTGGAATACCAGGGGTGGGAGCAGGCACTTTACTCAGCCACCTCTCTGAATATCCTCCAGGCCCCCAGTAGGGGTCAGTCACCAGAGGTTGCCATGACTTCCAGGTGCACACTCACACACACACACGCACATATAAAAAAATACAAACCCCCCCACCTGAATTTTTGCCTCTGCTTCAGTATCTCTGGATTAACACCTCTCTTGTTTTGAAATTCAGGGGTTTTTTTTTGTAAAGCCTACACTCCCATTATACAGCAGCTGCATTCAGCCATTGCAATACATTATGGTTTGGTCAAAGTAAGGGTGTCTGAATGTTGGCAGTCTGATGAACTAGGATTTCAAGTTAGGCTTTGCAGAGTTTTGTTAACCACAGAAGGTACTAAGCACGGTTTGTTGTGACGTCTGAATCCAGCAATCACCGTCTGAATCATCACCTGACCACAGAAACAGCCTAGTAGGGTGAATGTTCTCCTTGCTGGGAGGTCGGGAAGAGGCAAGACCCCAGCAAACAAGAGTTTATGCACAAGCTGGGATATGTTACATATGTCTAATCAGGGTCTGTTGTACAAAAACAGTTTATTGTGGGAATGAAATGCAGCCTGCATTTTTTTTTTATTGTGGCACTCTTCAATTTAATTATTTATACCAGTTGGTGGTTTCCACCCCTGAGCAGAATCTGAATTATTCTTGTGTCAACTACTTCTGTGTGTAGTGTTCTGAAGTCCTTTTACGCAGTTCTGAAGTCTTTTTACGCAGTTGATATTTTTGTATCCTGTGTGTTCCTCCAAGAGTCCAGAGATGGTATGCAGCAGGTTTCGTTTCACAGCAGTTGTTTCCTTTTAAGTACTCTGGACACAGGTTAGGTTGAGAGGGCTAAGCCCTGTCCAAGTTTACCCATCATGCTTGCCCATAATTTTTTATGCACTGTTCTTCCCTGATGGTATGTTTCCGAAGACTGTAAATGTTATCTTAACAGGGAAGCTCTAATACAAACAGTTTGTGCTTGCTTGTATTCCCTTCATAGGTTCTAATTGCTCAGGAGAAGATGGCTACGAACACAGTATATGTGTTTGCCAAGAAAGATTCCAAATACGCTTACACAGGAGAGTGTAGGTCTTGCTTGGAGAATTCTTCTCGGCCAACAAGTACCATATGGGTGAGCATGTTGGCCAGAGGTGGGCAGGTAAGCGTTTCCTTAAATATTTGACCTTGGTCAAGGGTGACAGGTTTGCTTTGCTATCTGCACTTTTGAGTATTGATCTCTTTTCTGGCTTTCTGCTACCCTGTGTTGTGTTCATCTTGATTTGGAAGGGATGCAGGGTTTGCACTTGTTTTTAATTCTGTCACGGTGCAGTATTGGCTCCAGTGTTGTTTCTGTGTGAGACAGTCAGTGAGGCAGCCCTTTAAGGGTTTTTTTTATTTAAATGTTATGTACATAACAATAACCATATCCACATTCAAGTTCAGAGGTAACAATTAGCTTTTGAGCTTAACTTTAGTCTGTGTACAACTAAATGACTACTTTATGGTAATACTTAAACTAAGAGTTGCAACAGCAAATATGCAAAAATGCAACAAATCTCAATAATGTGGGTTCTTTGGAACAATTTTGTTTCTCACTAAATATTCCACTACAGGATGCCAAGTCCCCATAGGTCTCTAGATAGGGATCCCCAACCTTTTTATGCCCACCAGTGTCTTTGAAATCCGGAGACGGGTGGTGGGCACAACCACAAAATGGCTGCCATGGGAGGCTGAGCCAACCACAAAATGTCAGGTCGTGGTTATATAGATTTGTAATAGCAACTCTGCAGCATTTCAGGCAGAAGCTCTGTTTAGCGGGGTGCCTTTTAATCTGCACAGCCAATCAGAAGCCCTGCTGAGCAAAAGCCCCAGCTGACCCCATCCACTTTCTAAAAACATTTGGCAGGCACCAGGAAAAATATTGGTGGGTGCCGTGGCAACCGAGGGCACCACGTTGGGGACTGCTACTCTAGATTCTCTGTAGTCCCTTTCTTCAGGCAACTTAACAGCAACATGCAAAGCGGCATTGTCCTCTTCAGTGGCTTTGCTTTTTGCCATTTCCCACCAATCCCTGCTTGAGCCATATGAGAGAGTCTTGGAAAATAGCCTTTTCTCAGATGCATGGTTCTCCATTAAAATCACAATGTATTTGAAATTAATGGGTGCATGCCTTGGTAAGGCCGCTGTGCTCGAATTCTGCCTTCCTGCTTTCACAGGGTGCAAAGAAGAGTGCCATAGGTCAGCGCATTGTGGCAACTTTGCCATATATCAAGCAGGAAGTGCCCATCATTATCGTCTTCCGTGCACTGGGCTTTGTGTCTGACAGAGACATCCTGGAGCATATCATTTATGACTTTGAAGATCCTGAGATGATGGAAATGGTAATACATTGATCTTTGTGTTCTGGGCTCAGTTTGAGCAATGTGTCTTTTTTATAAACATTTGACTTCTGTAATGATGTGCTGAATTGGCTAAGTGTGCTTTAGCAAAATCATAATTTTATGCTAAATTAGTTCTTTGCAGAAGTAAGCTCCACTCAGTTGGCGAGGGGGACTTGTATCTATGGGGGCAGCTTAGATTTAGAAGTGTCTCATTTCAAAGTCACCATAACTTGCTGTTGTGGACTAGCCGATATGGGGATTCTGAACAGTGTCTGATTTCTTACATTTTCAGGATGGGGATCAGTATCAGAGCACCTGCTTTGCATGCAGAAAGTTATTTCCAGGTAAAAGGCTCAGGTAGTAGGGGATGTGAAAGTCCTCTGCCCGAGACTGTAGTGGAGCAGCTGCTAATCAGAAGAGACAGTACTGACCCTCGATAGGCTGATGTCTGACTCAGTGTAACGTAGCTTAAATAAAAGAGTGTGGCTCAGTGATAGAGCATCTTCTTTGCATGCAGAGGATCCCCTTTCAGTCCCCAGCATTTCCAGTTAAAAGGATCAAGCTGTCTATTTTGTGACATGGCGCTGCCGCTCGGTACCGACCTTGACGTACCAAATGGTCTGACGTGGCTTAAGGCAGCTTCAAGCGACTGGTCTACTGATAACGTGCCTGGTCTACGTGTGATAGGTTAAGCCTTCCTTGGATGAAGCGTTCGTCATTCAGGAGCAGAACGTTGCGCTGAACTTCATTGGCTCGAGAGGCGCAAAGCCTGGCGTCACGAAAGAGAAAAGAATCAAGTACGCCAAAGAAGTTCTGCAGAAAGAGATGCTTCCACATGTCGGCGTCAGCGACTTCTGTGAAACCAAAAAGGCTTATTTTCTAGGGTACGTAAAGATGCGCAACACTTAACCATGGGAACGATTTGCCACGATTTGGAATAGTATGACAATCTAGAGTCAATAACAGTTTTCTTTATTTCATATTTCGGTAGCGTTTAGAGCTAATTTAAATCACTGCTGGGTAGGAAGCTTGGGCGCGGAGCATCACACCCCCATGCCTTTCATATGGATCGCCAACCCCCAGTACCAGCTCTTGGGTGGGGAGGGAACTACACCACAAAGACCAGAAAGTTCTGGGCTTGGATACTTTTCATGGGTTCTGGATTCAAGTGTCTGTGTTCTGGGACACGTTTAGGGTTTTCTTTGGGCGTGGGCATTGTTCCGTGGTGGTAGCTGGTATCTGATTTACTGTCTTCTTGACTTGTAATGATACTTATTAATGGTAGTACTGCTAATTTCCAAGAGAATTTATGTATTAGATTGTCGAGGAAGATTAATTTGGGCAGCATGAATAAAAAGACCTCACCCTGTTTACAAGACAGACATAGTTAAGGCCCGGAGCCTAAATTGGATCGTATATCATATATACTGGCTGATTTTTTTTAAAGCCATGAAATGAAGAAGAAGAAGAAGAGATTGGATTTATACCCTGCCCTTCACTCGGAGTCTCAGAGCGGCTTACAAACTCCTTTCCCCCACACGACAGATACCCTGTGAGGTGGGTGGGGCTGAGAGAACTCTGACACAAACTGCTCTTGCGGGAACAGCTGTGCCAGAGCTTGTGACTCACCCAAGGTCACATCAGCAGGTGCAAGTGGAGGAGTGGGGAATCAAACCTGGTTCTCCCAGATTAGAGTCCGCACACTTAACCACTGCACCAAACTGGCTCTCAGTCGAAGCCTGACACTTCCAAGTATTTGAAGAATGGCTTGAAGTAAATGTATAGCCTAAGCTGCATAGGACTTCCAGCAAAGCTCCAGAACCGTTCAGACTCTCCCTCCTTGGTGCAAGAGCATGAGCCAGTCAGAGGAACGTTGATCTGCCTGTCCCCGTGCCGTGCCGTGAATGGCTCTGAGAACTGGGAAGGAATTCCAGCGTTGCCTGATAGGGGGAGGGGGACAGAAACCTTGGTGAGAACGGAACATAGGCTTGACAGCTGGTGGGGAAAATGGTTTCAAGTCAGTGTATGCTCCCCTTGGATCGATCAGCATTTTTTCCTGCATTTATTTTGATATGGTACAATTTGATGGGTGTGTGGCGCTTCAGAGCTTCAGCAGACGAAAACAAAGCAAACTGTCCTCACACTGAAGGAACTTGCAGTCCAAAGCAAATGGCAAGGAAAGTGGACGTGACCAAGGGGAAGGAAGGACTGGCAGGGGGGGAGGCCTCCTGCTTTTTCCTGCTGGTTCTTGCTTTTCCCTCCTTGCTCCCTTTCACCTCAGTTTCAGGTGCCATTCTGGTTGCTAACCTTGAATGCCAAAGCTTTTTTCTCCTCTGCGATCTTGGCATGGCCAAAGATGTCACTGTCCCCTTTTTAGGAGAGCTTTTACATCCACGTGTGTACGGAAGAAAGTGCCAGGTTTGTTTTGGCACACCTGGGGTTTCCCCACAGGCTTGCCGGAGACGATCTTATAGCCCAGGGTGGAGTTTTTGATTTGCATCCCATGGCTGTTAAACATTCAGGCCTTCTCCTGCTTTCTTATTCTTGAGCATGAGGATTTAAGGTCCCTGGGCTTTGAGGAGTTCGTGACACTGGGGCCTTTATTATTATTATTGTTGTTGGTGGTGTTGGTGTTGGTGTTATTGTTATTATTTCTTTGTTATTTGTTATTATTATTATTATTATTGATTTTCTCAGCTTTACAGAGAGCAGCTTAAACATTTGTTTCAACACAGTAACACTGTAACTTTGCTACATATAAGTGACTATACAACACGGAACATTTTGTCTCGTTATTCAGAGGGGATTGAACATTGAGTCGTCTCGTGGGTGTGGTGTGTTTTCTCGTGTTTGTTTTATTATTATCTGCAGTGCTGGAGGCCTAAAGGTGTAACCACGTGTGATATATTTGTCTTGTTGGCAATATGCTATTCATAGCCATATACTCCAGGGCTGCCATTTCAAGTTTCATCTGGGATATCTTAATGTCTATGTTTTGCAAGTCTGCATGTCCAGCTGTCACTCAATAAGCTGCTTGTCTCTGGTAAAGGTACATGGTCCACAGGTTACTCCTGGCTGCCTTGGGGAGAAGGGAACTGGATGACAGAGATCACTACGGCAACAAGCGTCTGGACCTGGCAGGGCCACTACTTGCCTTCCTCTTCAGAGGGTGAGTGCAACCCTTTCCTACAGGGAGGGGCCACGGCTCAGTGGTAGACCATCTGCTTTGGCACCTTCATTTAAAAGGGGATGGGCAAGACCTCTGCCTGAGACCCCAGAGAGCTGCTGCCAGTCTGAGTATAATACAGTGTTGATCTAGAATGGGCCAAGGGTCCGATTAGTTATGAGGCCGATTCATACGTTCATGTGATTTACTCATAGCTGTTTCTGTGTCAAGAGGTCTGCTTTCTTCTAAGCATTCTTAAATTCATCTCCAGCTGTGGCTGGTGTGAAAAATCTTCACACTCCACAAGTGTGAGAAATGTGGGAAAGGGCGGTGATTCTGGGGGCAAGCACTTGCAGGCAGACATACCTTTGGAGGAGTGTGTTGAGTTCCTGTAGTTTGAGTTGGCACTCTGAAGGACAACAGTTTTCGGATCTTTATTTGTTCTCAGTACTACTGAGACGGGATCAGTTTTTATGTCCTGCTGAGAACACTCAGGCTAATGCCTATCTTGAACAAGCATTCCTCCTTGTGGGAGAGAATTATGGCTGCACGCTTACCACTGGGACAGGGCATCCCCCTTGACCAAAACCCCACTCCCCTTATTTTCGGGGTCCAGTTGGGGAGGGGCCGTGTTCAACAGCCTTATTCACTTTCTGTGCACGGAGGGGAAACGAGCATGTAGCAGGTGCAGACTTAGGCTGGACTGAGAGTTTTCCCTGAAACAGTAATGGCTACTATCCTGCCACCTTGCAGCGGAGTGACGGAAGGGTATGTTTGTCCTTGGATGAGGAGGGTCGATTTTTTTTCCAGATTCCCTCTCCCTGTCTCTCTCTCTCACACACACTTGGCTCCCTATACTGTTCTAGAAAGTCTGTTAGCTCCCAGGAACGAAATATTTGAAGGGGCTCACCGGGCTACAGCTGGAGACAGAGGTAGGAACGTTCTACTCCACTTGCAGATTTCACTGGGTCCAAGCCCGTGACTGGGAGACTGCATTTGCCTTTACTTGATATACTTTAAATTTATAATAATACTGCCTTGGGCCTTCTGGAGCCATTCTAGTAGCACAGGCAGTTTCCTCTGCTGGAGGACTGTACTTCTAACAGGATGGATCTATGGAATCCATCCTCACTGACTTGGTACTTGTGGGTAGAACATTAGACCGTATGTTGCAGCAGCAACCAATTTCTCAAGCACCAGTCCTGAGAAAACAAGTCCATTGAAAGAGGTAGGATATTAAGTGGGAATGATTCTTCTGGATGGAGGCCTCTGTGTGCACCATGCTCCAAAAAGGTTTTCGGGGGGGTGGGGGATGGAAAGTTACTTCTGTCTTCACAATGTTTACATTTTTCCAATTTCTTGCGGAACAGGATGTTTAAGAACCTGCTGAAGGAAGTGAGAATATACGCACAGAAATTCATTGACCAGGGGAAAGATTTTAACTTGGAGCTGGCAATCAAAACCCGGATAATCTCGGACGGTTTGAAGTACTCATTGGCTACAGGGAACTGGGGGGACCAGAAGAAGGCTCACCAGGCCAGAGCTGGGGTGTCTCAGGTAGGCATTTGGCCAGTCCCACTGAGCCCCTTGTTCCTCTGGGCCACAAGGGGAGAATTGGAGTCCTGCCATTTCATTGGCTCCTCGGAGGGCCCATTCTGTCCTGTTAACTCAAGCCCAGCGTCCATCTGGCTCACGGGTTGAAGTCACTATGTGTGATTCCGCCAGACCTCCCTGCTCAGAAAGCTCTTTGGCCTGCAGTCTCCCAGCTACGATGCACACCCTGACCTCATTTGAGGATTTTTCATCTCTCCTTTCCCAAATGTACTGCCTCCGGGGGCCCTCCCAGTTTAGTGCCCGTGGCTTCCTGTGTTTCTTTTTGCTTGAGCTCCCCTTCTCAGGGCCTCAGCCGCTGGCCTCTCTCTTCCTTGGCCAATACCTCAGAGCCCCCCCGCCCCCCCCAGCTCCGTCTCTCCCCTGCTAGCAGCTGCACTGTTTCAGCCCTATGGCTCTGCCTCTCCCCGCAGAATTTAATATGAGCCCGGCATGATGTTGCGGGAGCGCAGTGGGTTTTGCCGAGGTTATGAGGGTAACAGGCCACAGGGAGGTTTCTGTTTGGCCCGGGGGTCCTTAGTTTTGCAGTTTCCTGTTCTGACCTCATGTCATGTAGCCCAAGCTTGAGGCTGCCAGGCTGGGGCTACTGCAGAATTTCACGCATCCTTTGGATTTATTGTATTAACGCCTGCAAACTTGCGGAGTCCTCCTTCAGTCTGTGTAAGTCTTCATCGATCTTTAAATGGGCCTGTAGCTAGTTAACATGTTAATAGAATTCTTGGGATGTGTTTTGTCTTTTAATAAACCCCTTAAGTTTACCTCCTGCTCTTAGCGGTCTCCCAGTCAGAACTGGAATATATGCTTGCTTCAAAGCTGCAGCCTCAGGTCATTTCTGGGCCCTCTTGTACTGTAGTAAGACACTCTGTACTAAGCGATCTGAGACCAGTGCTGAAAATGAATATGTAGATGGATGGTGGGATGTCTTTCGATTGAGTCACGGGATAAGTAGCTCTTGATGGCATTCAGAAGGTGAACTATCCGTACTTCCTGAGCTGGCCTCAAACGCAACTTGTTGCATTCCTCCAAGGTATTGAACCGTCTGACTTTTGCATCTACGCTTTCTCATTTACGTCGCCTGAATTCCCCCATTGGTCGAGATGGGAAACTAGCCAAGCCCAGACAACTGCACAACACTTTATGGGGAATGGTCTGTCCTGCTGAGACTCCAGAGGTAAGGCACAAGTCAGGCTGTGTTTTTTGTTGATTAAAATAGGTATGTCTTGCCTTTCTTGTCATGGGGGAAAGGTGGTATCCCAGGGCAGCTTACAAAAACCAGGAAGCTCTGGCACCATAAAAGTTAGAAACACACATACCCATGTAAAAGTACTTACAGCTTGTAACAGAGATTATCTGTTCACAAAAGCCCTTTTAAATGGGGCAGCCTTGTGGCCAAAGCTTTCCCCGATGATGGCTACTAGCACTGGGTTTCAGGGTTTATTGCCTCTAGATATCGAGCTTCCTTTTCCTCACTATGGCTAGTAGCCACTGGTGGACTGCCTCTCCATGTATAGGTCTGTTACTGGCTATAAGCTGTGACTTCCTTGAACCTGGAAAGTCTGAAAACCACTGCAGTGAACAGTCTTGTCCTGACATAAATGGTTAAGAGAACATAAGAGAAGCCATGTTGGATCAGGCCATCCAGTCCAACCTTCTGTGTCACACAGTGGCCAAAACCCAGGTGCCATCAGAAGATCCACCAGCAGGGCCAGAACTCCAGAAGCCCTCCCACTGTTGCCCCCAAAACACCCAGAGTACAGAGCATCATTGCCCCAGATAGAATGTTTCGCTGATACCTTGTGGCTACTTATGGACCTCTGCTCCATATGTTTATCCAATCCCCTCTTGAAGCTGTCTGTGCTTGTAGCCACCACCATTTCGTGCAGCAGTGAATTCTACGTGTTAGTTACTCTTCGGGTGAAGAAGTACTTCCTTTTATCCGTTCTAAGCCTACTGCTCATTGATTGAGTGCCCTTGTATTGTGAGAAAGGGAGAAAAGTACTTCTTTCTCTACCGTCTCTATCCCAGATGTGATTTTGTAAACCAGCACTTGCCTGGTACATGATCTTGAGGAGAAGCTGATTTTTTTTTTAAAAGGCAATTCCGTGTGCCCCCAGGGTCATGCCGTAGGGCTTGTGAAGAACCTTGCTCTGATGGCCTACATCTCCGTGGGGTCTCAGCCCTCCCCCATTCTGGAATTTTTGGAAGAGTGGAGTATGGAAAACCTGGAAGAAATCTCTCCAGCTGCCATTGCAGAGTACGTACACAAGGAAATCAGCATAAGAGTTCTTTCACGTGGGTTCATACCAGTAGAACATTTGCATAATCCTTTCCTTTTTTCTCTCCTGCCTGAAGTGCCACGAAAATCTTTGTGAATGGCTGCTGGGTTGGGATACACAAAGACCCGGAGCAGCTCATGAACACACTGAGGAAACTGCGGCGTCAGATGGACATCATTGTGTCAGAGGTAAATATTGGGTCATGACTCTGGCTTGACAAAGTGTGGGGTGCCTAATAATAATAGTAATAATAGTAATAATAATAATAGTCTGTCATGCAGAAAAATATTGGATGTTATCACAGTCTGTCTTAAAAGCAATTTTACTCATTCTAAAAGGAAAATATTTCATAGGATTTTTTTCAGTGTTCTCCAAATTTCCATTTTTTCCTACTGGAAGAACTGGGGGGAAAAAATCTTCTGGAGAAAAATCTAGGGTTTTTTCCAAACTCCCCTTCCCCCAAGGATTTAACATACCTAGTTAAAAGCCACCATCACAATTTAAAATGTTATATCTGTCTTCACACTAAATCTAAGGAGTTTGTTCATTTGTTTGTTCTTTGTGGAACACTGCTTGAGACCCAAAGACTATTGCATGGATAGACTTGGTACAGGTGGGCCAGATCTGTGCTAAAAATTAAATTCGAAATGCCTTGCTTCTTTTTTTTTTTTAAGCATTGCTTGTTGCCCACACTAAGCACTTGCCTTTAGGAAATGGATCTCTGCTGCTTCTGAATGTGTCCTTTGCGCACACAGGTGTCCATGATCAGGGATATCAGGGAGCGAGAAATCCGCATCTATACCGACGCTGGCAGGATTTGCCGCCCGCTTCTGATTGTGGAAAAACAGAAACTGCTGTTGAAGAAGAGGCACATCGACCAACTCAAAGAGCGGGAATATAACAACTACAGGTAGAAAACTCCCCGTTTTCTTTTGGAGGAATGTGTACATGACTCGTTCCTATTTCTCAACTAGCTTTAGTGAAAGAGGGCTTTCCATAAGAACATAAGAGACGCCAATGTTGGATCAGGCCAAAGGCCCATCCAGTCCAACACTCTGTGTCACACAGTGGCCAGAAATACTAGGTGCCATCAGTGGGGCCAGGACATTAGAAGCCCTCCCACTGTTGACCCCCCCAAGCACCAAGAAGACAGAGCATCACTTGCCCCAGAGCCCCTGTCTATATCTTGTGGCTAATAGCCATGGGGTGTGGTTTCTTAAGAGTGGCAAAAATGCCCTGGGCCTCACCTCAGCTGCTCCAGTCTCTTGTAGTGGCTGCAAGGTACCTCCAGAATGACACATGCAGAGCACGCCAAGTTTCCAGAGCAGGGCTTTCCAACACGGTGCCCGTGGGGCGCTGTGGCATCTGCCTTGAACGTCCCTTGTCGGCCGCCAGATGTGTCACCGAGTGGGTGGGGCCACAAAGTACTTCTGTAGTGATGTGTGCTACTCAATTTTCTAGAGTGGCTTTTGAGGGCACAGCCTGAGCACCAGCTCAAGGTGACGTGCCCTAGGGACTCTGCTTGGTTCGCACTTTCCGGGGGAGGGGGTTGGCCAGGGGTCTTGGCTGTGCTGTGGCAGAGGAGGCTGACCACAGAGGAAAGTATTCTCCAAATGTGTGATAGGTGTGTGTGTAAGGAAAGACCAACTGACCGAGCAGGGGGGATGGAATCCCAGGGTGTGGAATAGAAGCTCTTTTCTTGCAGCACAGCAGTTTCACATGGCAGTTTTGATGGGTTTGATGCCCCTCTAAACATAACTGCTGCAGAGAGATGGAGAGTATGGAAGCCACAAGAGAATCTGAGATGCCGTGTTCTTTTTTTAAACACCAGAGCTCCACTTCACAGGTTTTACACATACAGCCAGTGGGCTGCATACGTGCAGTTGGGTGCAAGAATTTAGGGTAGGCCCTTGCCAAAGAGCTGGCCAGCAGTCAAGAGGTTTGGGAGTAGATTCAGAAAATTCAGGTGATGCTCACCTCTGCTTTTCATCCGCAAAAGACCCTCATCTAGTAACTATTGTTCATAGAACTCTGCTACCCCTACAAACTCTTTTCTTGCAGCACAGCAGTTTCACAGAGCAGTTTTGATGCCCTTCTAAACATAACTGCTGCAGAGAGATGGAGAGTATGGAAGCCACAAGAGAATCTGAGAGGCCGTGTACTTTTTTTAAACACCAGAGCTCCACTTCACAGGTTTTACACATACAGCCAGTGGGCTGCATACGTGGCAGCTGGGTGCAAGAATTCAGGGTAGGCCCTTGCCAAAGAGCTGGCCAGCAGTCAAGAGGTTTGGGAGTAGATTCAGAAAATTCAGGTGATGCTCACCTCTGCTTTTCATCCGCAAAAGACCCTCATCTAGTAACTATTGTTCATAGAACTCTGCTACCCCTACAAGTGAAAGCAAAAGACAGTAAGATCTTCCAATGGACTGTGCCCGTTTTTGATAACAAGTACACTTTTGTAGAACTCAGTTAAGCGAGGCCCTTTGTTTAGCTGGCAGGACCTGGTGGCCAGCGGCGTAGTTGAGTACATCGACACCCTCGAAGAAGAGACCGTGATGCTGGCCATGACGCCAGATGACTTGCAGGAGAAGGGTGTCGCGTACTGTTCGACCTACACGCACTGTGAAATTCATCCCTCCATGATCCTCGGCGTCTGCGCATCGATCATCCCGTTTCCTGATCACAATCAGGTCTGTCCAACTTTCTTTGCAGTTGGCATATCAGCTGGTGGCTGGAAGGGAAGTTGGCCTCTCCGTAAAAATAGACATTTATCCTCCTTAACCCCCCTTTCTCATACTTGACTTCCACAGTCTCCCAGGAATACGTACCAGTCTGCTATGGGCAAACAGGCTATGGGAGTTTACATTACCAACTTCCACGTCCGTATGGATACCCTCGCCCACGTCCTGTATTATCCTCAGAAACCCCTGGTGACCACGCGCTCGATGGAGTACCTCAGGTTCAGGGAGTTGCCTGCAGGTATGTCCCAGTCTGCTGTCTAGTGCTGCAGAAGTGCCCTTTACTGACCAGGAATCCTGAGCCCCAGGGTGTATCCAGACATCTGTAGATGCAGCAGTGCAGGACTTTCCCACTGTATCCTACCAAGGTCCACAAAACATTTTTTTTTTGGTGGGGGGGAATCAGCAGACCATGGGGAACAGCATTGAGGGAAAAGAAAGTTATATGCAGTAGGAGGGTGTAAAATTGACAGAGGTACTGTTCCATTGGAAGAACTGTGCGGTAGGATACATGCAGAATTTCCTGGAGGACTGCTGTGGGGACAGGGACAAGGCTTCAGTCTCCCACCACCTGCCCAGCACAGAGGTTATTTCCTAGTTTCTAGACTGGCACTTGGGTTGGGGTGAATGGGGGGCTGGGGGCTGGACTGGGTTTCTGGTGCCTCCGGTTGTTGACTTCTGGCACAAAAGAATCAGGAAGGAAATCATTGGCAAGTGAATGCTTGGCCCATTAACGTTTAGCTTTAGGTGAGATGTAAAGGATAAAGCCGTGCGCTGCTGGGCTCCTGCGGCACTGGCCACCTGGGCATCTTTTAAAACCGGGCATTGAGTTCTGTGCAGGTTTTAGGCCTCTTTGAGACCGATCAGCCGAGATCCTGTTGGCGTATGGCTCCAAGTGGAGGGTGAGCGGCAAGTAGGTGCGTGGGGGGGTAACGGGCAGGAGGAACATTCGAATAACGGAGAGCAAACTTCAACTCTTAAGAAGAATTGGGAGTTGTTCTGTGCAGGTTTTAGGCCTCTTTGAGGACGATCAGCCGAGATCCTTTTGGCGTATGGCTCCAAGTGGAGGGTGAGTGGCAAGTAGGTGCGTGTGTGTGTGTGGGGGGTAACGGGCAGGAGGAACGTCCGAATAACGGAGAGCAAACTTCAACTTTTAAGAAGAATTGGGAGTTTCTGCTTCACAGCGGCAGTACCATAGTCCTCCACCAGGTGTCTCTGGGTGCATTCATTTCAGTACAGAACATCTGGCAGTGCAGGAATGAACAGAGGCTTTTTCAGGTGGGGCTCACGCAGTGCTTGATCTTCTGTGAGTTCGTCTGTCACCATCAGAACGAACAGGTTATTTCCTGTGCTGCTGTGCCTTGCGGTCTTGCGGAACACGCTAGGCAATTCTTAGCCAGCATTCCAAAAGGACATTCGCAGTTTATCTGGGGCTTTTGGTGAGTCCTGACCACTGCTTAGTGCAATCTGCGAGAACCTCCTAAAGGCACTGGTCCTCACTCTGTGGGTGGCAGAGGGCCTGCCATTCCTGGCATGAGGCCTGCGTACAGCTGACCTGTTCCGCTGGTGGCCACTTGTGCAAGGTGGGAACCCCCTGCCAGCCTATAAGCCCCACCAGGCAAGGGCCTTGTCCACTTTCCTGACTGCGAGAACCTCCTAAAGGCACTGGTCCCCTCACTCTGTGGGTGGCAGAGGGCCTTCCATTCCTGGCATGAGGCCTGCCTGTCAGGGATGCGTACAGTGTACCTGTTCCGCTGGTGGCCACTGTTGCAAGGTGGGAACCACCTGCCAGCCTATAAGCCCCACCTGAAACATAGCACAGGTACCACCTTGGGAAATGGACCTCAGAAGAGCCACACATGGCACATTAAAACCATGGAATCATTGAGTAGCACTGCCTTCGAGCATCCCCAGTGCTTCCCTGCCATCGCACAGACCAGTGCTGAAGGTCAAATCTGGCTTTCTTGACAAAAGAAATTGCCTGTCACTGCTGATCTTATCAAAGAACTCCAGTCTCTTCTGGGGATCCCTGGGGCAGAGTTGGAAAGCCTCTGACGCGGGGACATGTTTTCTTGTGAGAGCAAAAAACAGGCGCAGGTAATCACTGTTGTCTCTCCATCATCCATTGCTTGAGCATTTAGTCTTTGTATGTCTGTGTGTCTACACATTGCCGGGGAGAATGGCACAGTGGCAAAGCTGCAGTTGCATGGACAGATGACTGTCAGCATCTGTGGGCAGCGTGCCTTGTCTGCACAAGTGCGGTGGGGCTTCTGCAGCTGGCCTTCCTGCTTCTGAGTTGGAGAGCAGCACCTCTGCCATGACATACACTTGCAAAGGGGGGGCCTTTCTTCCCTGCAGGGCCACTTCAAGAAGGCAGAGATGGCAGGCCAGTACTGTAGTCTCCTCTAACCTGGGTTACCCACAAATGCTATTTTCACCACACCTTTTTGGACTCTTGGCACTACTGGGGAGGGACCACCAGTTGCTGACCTCTGCACTCCTTTCCGCTCATCGAAATGCCAGTGTTCCATTCTCTCTTCTTGGTTTTTACCACCTGAACGGGAAGAGCTCTGTGGGATTTGTAGCTGATGGCTGTTTTCAATCCCCCCCACCTTTAGATCTGTGTTCTATCGTTCCTACAAAGAACAAGAGTCGAAGAAAGGTTTTGATCAGGAAGAAGTGTTTGAGAAGCCAACGCGGGAGACTTGTCAGGGTAAGGATAGGCAGCGCATGCCAGAAGCCACGCTGGATCAGACGAAGGCTCCATCCTTTTCAGCGTTCTGTCTGCAACAGGGAAGGCCACGAGCAGGGCCCACAGAGAGCAGCTCTTCTGGTTCCTCAGAAGTAAAAAGGTAAAGGCTTCCCTTGCTCGAAAGCCAGTCAAGTCCGACTCTAGGGTTGCGGTGCTCATCTCCGTTTCGAAGCCGAAGAGCCAGCGCTGTCCAAAGACGTTTCCGTGGTCATGTGGCCGGCATGACTAAACACTGAGGCGCACGGAACGCTGTTACCTTCCCACCGTAGTGGTACCTATTTGTCTACTTGCAATTTTTTGCTTTCGAACTGCTAGGTTGGCAGGATTCTCAGAAGTACCTGATGCCAATAATAGGCATTCTGCCTCTGAACTCAAGGGTCTCATTCATCTAGCATGGCCAATGGCCACAGATAGACCTATCCTCTATCTATGTGCCTGCCTTTGATAGCCATCCAAGCTGGTGTTGTGCATATTAGATTCCATGTCAAAAATGAAGTCAAATTAGGAGGAGGATCTATGTTTTATTTCAGTTAACAGGAAAACAGTTGGACCCAATAGTCCATCCAAAATTGACTGCTTTCTTTTCAGCATATTCAGGAGATATGCTTCAATTAACAGGAAAACAATTGGACCAAATAACTCATCAAAAATTGACAACTATCTTCTTCTTTTTCTTGAACATATTCTGAGCATATTCAGGAAATTCATGATATTTTATACATGGACTGACATCATCAAGAAAACAATATTCAAAAAGCATAATTGGTTATAAAAGACAGTGGTAATTTGAATAATAAGCCTCTGATTTGTCAGATGTAAAGAAACATATCTACGTCAAATCTACATAAAACCTAAGTGTTTACTTAACCTAACCTAAATGATAATAGGCAAAGATTCTTCATATCCCAAACAAAAGTGTTTTTTTCCTGATATGAGACCAAAATCTTATCTGACCCAGACATTGCAAGGTTTTGCCCTTAAGAACTACAGAACCATGAACTTTGTACCTTTGTTATCTTGTCTGCTAACAATATCAGACCTACAAGAGGAAAGCCTTCTGTATAACAGGCCTTTCTAACATTCTAATAAAATATGACTTAAAAGAAAAATCTATAAAACCAAGACAAAATATGAATATGAATAATCAAAAAAGAAAAACCCTATATAAAACATCTTTATATTCCCATTCATACTACACTGGCAATCCATGTGGTAGCAATGAGTTCCCCAAAATACCATCCTTTTATCTATCCTGAGTTTCTAGCGAATGTGTTTCATAGAGTGACCCTGAATTCTAGAATTATATGAGATGGAGAAAAGTTTCTATCCTCAGTCTCCTTTTTTTGTGAACTAAACATGCCCAGAAGGTACCTACCAACACCTGTTGAAGCCTGGGCTGATGGGTAGCTGCTCAGTAATAGTTCCTTGCCTGGCTCCTTTATGACCTTGCCATCTGTACAGGAGGCAGTGCAGAGTGTTTAGACCTGGAAACTGAACAGCAGCCTGCCTCTCCAGCAGTGCAAGCGGCTGCAGTGGAGGTGACAACGAAACACCCAGTTGTGCGAAATGGGTCTTTCCTGTACCATGATGTGGTTAAACCAAGGACAAAAATGCAGAAGCAAAGTTTGAACTCAAAGCCTTTTACTTGCTATGCCACACAGCGGCCATAAGAAAAACATGGTCCCAGATAGTACCGGCTTTGAGAACCACTGTGCTGACTTAATTGAAGAGACTGAAGAAGCTAGGTCAGATGTGAGCAAGTTGTCGGACTCGCAGTTATATGTAGCCCAACTAAGTACACATTGCAGCCGTCCCAAGAAGAGAATCCAGACAGGTTTATTAACCCCATGTTGGGCTGCCTGGACTGGGAGGTTGTGGGATTGTCTCCAGCTTGGTGGCTTGCGGCTGCCTGATCTAACCTTGTACCGCATTTCTATTTCCCCAGGGATGCGGCACGCCATCTACGACAAGCTGGAAGACGACGGCTTGATTGCGCCCGGCGTACGCGTGTCAGGGGACGACGTCATCATCGGCAAGACGGTGACTCTGCCCGAGAACGAAGATGAGCTGGAGGGTACCAATCGCCGTTACACCAAGAGAGACTGCAGCACTTTCCTGCGGACTAGCGAGACCGGGATTGTTGATCAGGTCATGGTTACCTTGAACCAGGAAGGATACAAG